GCGGGGGGGGTTAGCTTGATATATCAATCTTTAAGGCACGCAGCCCCTCCCACCACAACATTGCTAAAGCAAAGAAGAACTCAGCTAGCATGCTAGCTTTCGTGATTAAGAAGAAACAAAAGAACCCTGCACATCCTGGGAGAAAGACCAAACACAAACAACAAGCCCAACAAGTGCCCCTATATCATGGATGAAACGGAAAAAAAGTCACCCAAAGAACCCCCACCCAATAATTGCTCCATTGTTTGAAGGACAAATTGGCCAAGCCACGAACCAATCCAGAAAAAGATAACCCTTCTCTCCAATGGTCTTCCGCATCTCCGGTGACATGCCCTTCGGAGAGGTGAGGCTCCAGGAGACCAAATCCTCCTCCACCTGCGGCCAGCGATAGCCGCAGGCGAGTACGCGAAGCCGCTGCAGAAGCCGCAGCGGCGGGCAGGTGTTCGTGTTCGTATATCTGGTAATTACGTCTTCTCCTCTCAATTAATCAATGAGTTTTTTCTTCTCCTTTCAATTATACCGGGCTGCCTGCAAGCTTGCGCATCTTTTTGGGACACCTCCAACTTCACCTCCAACCGCTTGCGAGCCGCCCGCTCCACTCTCTCGACCGGTCGGATCGCCCCGGCGTCGGGATAGCGACGCGCCTGGATGGTTCCGTTGATGACGCGTTGGAGGCTTTGCCGCAAGACCGCCATCTGCTCACCTGCGCAGGGCTGCGGGTCATGCGGGTAGGATGCGGATGCAGTGGGATGCGGTTTTCGTGTCTGGGGGGGGCCGTGCGCTTCAAACCGAAGAATGGCAGTGAACTGATGGATCTTGACCAATGCACTCCCTGGAATCATCCATGAAGTGGATGGCATGGCCCTGGAAGACTGAAATCCGAATACCATGTTTCCCCAGGTTTCGAAGGAGACGCGGGATAAACAACCTTAGAAACACCTGCAATGCCCTGGACCATGGGTCAAACCATCGGGCCCCAACCGATGAGCTGAGGTGTTTGTGGGTCAGGTCGTAGGTCGGACCTTGTTCCTGGGGTGATCTTCTACTTCGGGATAGAACTTGAAGGCCCCCTTCTGGTGAAACATCAACGTCCCGTGTTCCCAACGGCCATGGCTTCCCCATCTAACGCTCCTAGACCCCTACGCACCAAGGCACCGACCGGTGCGGTAGGCACCTACCCACCCCCCACAAAGGCTCTGGGCGCCGCCCCGGCCTTGGGGATCTGGATGCTTGGAGCCGATCCACTGGTGCGACACAAAGATGGAGAACATCCCTGCCGCGAGGCGAGCCATCGCGTCGACCGACGCCTTCAAGTCAAGTGATTCCCCATGATTCCCCTATGAAGTCCGGGGAATTCGAAGTCAAGGAAGTTCGACAAATTGAAGGTTAGCATGCCTTTTCACACCACCTGGCCTCAAAACCCATCTCTTTTCACTTCAAGTCGACGGATCGTCGAACCTCTCCCGGAACTGGGGGGTCTTTCTCGTCACGGATAGTGGTCCAAGGAGCCGTTCGGCTGATCGGAACGGTGGACGATGGCCACGGGTTCGGTGTTGGACCACTGGTGTGTTGGAACCCTTTCTCTCCGAGACCCGCCCCCATTGACCCCTGAAATCCACCGCCCCAAGTGATCGGCAGTCCTATGCCAGTCCACTGGTCGGTGTCTGGGACAGGTATGTATGACCATGTTCCCCTTTTTTCAAGCTGATTTGCCGCGCTGCTGGCAGGCCTCCTTCAACCAACGGGAAGGTAGGTATCATCTTTCATGATGTATGAATGATCTCAAACCATCAATGTAATTATAGGTAAATGCATGCTATTCCATACATCGATGGTTTGGGGATGATGGGATGTAACATTTCGTTTGTAGTCTCCTCGCTTTACCCAGGAATATCTCCCATCATCTTCCAAACCATCTCATATCGTCTCCACATAGTCTTCATGCAGTGTACCGCCCCACATCTCTTCCCACGGGAAGACCGCGTTGCCCTGCGCCTGGTTGCCAAGTGTGCAACAGCCCACGCGCCATGAGAATCTGATGTGGCAAGGGCGGGCCCGCCATCTCCAGGAAGTCCGAGACCTGTGAATGGAGAGTGCAAAGCCAAGACCCAAGGCGGCACAGGCTTAGCCCTGAGGTTAGTAAGTACACCGCAAAACTATGCCAAACCTAGCTCAATACCAGGACCCTCCTGTCGGGGTGTCTATTTATAGCCCCTTAACTTAACTGTTAAGGGTTGTCCATTAACCACCCCTTGAAGGCCCTGGTATGATGCGAAACCAGCTCAAGCACTGCCACGGCGGACCGGACACCCAAGGCCTGCGTGACCGGACCCATCACATGCAAACACATCACATGCAAACACTCCATGGGACTGGAATCCTTGCCGATATAACATGGACCTCGAAAGCACCCCCCATGCTGGTAAACAACGTGAAAATGCCATACGGAGTGTTTCGTGACATGGAGGCGGACCATTAGGCCACCTAAAATTAGAAATGACCTTTTTCATCCTTTTTCCCTCAACGAACTGCTGGGTGGTTGCCAGGTGAGGGGTTCCTCTACCACCTCGCCTGCCGTTCCTCCTGACCCCGCTGGCGCGGACCGGACGCCCAGTTCACCTTCACCAGGTACATCGGGAACTTCTGCTCATGGACCGGTCGCGGATTCGCCACCTGCCAAGGTGGAATCATTGGCCCAGCCGAGGTGGAACCGGCTGCTTCTCAAAGTGCAGCAGGGCTCGCACCACTGGGTTGGTTCTATTCAACAGGCCTTTGATCATTTGATCAGTAGCAGTTCAACTAAAATAAATCAGCATCAGTCTCACCCAATTTTTGTTTGGCATTGCTATAAGGCACAAGCTATACTCTCTGTAGCTATTTGGTTCGTCTTCGTCTTCTCACCTGCGGCTCGCCAGTACAACACTGGTTCCCCATGGCGGCACCGGCCGAGTCGCCGGACGGGTTCCTCCACCCCGGGGCCCAGGCCAGCTGCTGCGGTACGAGTTCACCAGGCAAAGGAGGAGCCGAAAGACCAGTCCACTCCCTGAAATAGTTCATCAATCCCCGTTGCTACCGACTACTGAGGTTCACCCCCCTATTTTACTAAACATACTTAAACAAATTTAAATTGTGAGCAACGGGGATGTTCATCATGGGCCAGCGTGGATGGCATGGCCCCGAGTTTGGATGACCATGAAATCCGAATCCCAATCAAATCCAATCAGATAATCAGATGGTTTTCACTCCTGTTCTCATCGTCGCTTCAAGTCGCTGCAGGAAGGAACGGGTCGCTGACGCGCCAGGGAGATCATTGCTGCCAGGCCATGGGGTGCTACATGTCTTTTTGGCCGCGGTCGGTTCAGCGATGGTCGACCAGCTTTGTGACAACATCTGATGAGGGCGCCTGTAAAGAACTCTACACAGGATTTCAATGTCCACATGTCACCCGGTGGATTTCCAACAATGAGTAAATGTCTACCCTATATAGATAGAGACTATTTCTGGGGGCTAGTAACATGTTCCATCATTTTCCTGACTGCGGGCCCTGCAAACCAGATCCAACTTCAAAAGTTGGCACCCAGCTGGCGTCTTTGACGTCCAGCCCTTCCGTTTGGAATGGGGCCTGGGGTCGGGCTCGACACCGCGCCCGGCTTCTGGGGCTCCAGTCCCCGATTGAACGAGCTCTAAACCTGGTCATTCCTGTAATAGATCACCTTGTCTAACTTCTGGGTCCCGCGTCCCTCACAACAACCTCTCTACTGCAAACTGCGGCGTCACACCGCGAAGGTGGCCAACCTGGCTTCGGCGTCCGGCGGAGCGTCCACCGAGGTCACCGACGTCGAACTGTTTTACTATAGGGAAGGCCGGGCCTGTGGCAACACAGTCCGGTCGTCTAATAGTACGCCTGAGGACAGTCTAGGTTGATCTGCACCAGACACACTTGGGATCAGAAATCGTCCTCAGGTGCCTGTGACGTGAATCCTTCTGCCTGTGCTCCTGTCCTGCCACCTGACCTAAGCCTCAGTAGTAACCTGCTCCCAACCCCGCTTCAGCCTGCCCTGATTCCCCCCTTCCCGCCCCCCAAAGTTCTGGCTCAAGCCAACAGGTAGCAAGGGCAACAAATGCTTTTGACCAAGCTCCAGCGCCAGATCCTCAGGGGTCTTCCCCATGTCGTTGGTCAACGATACATCCTCAGCTCACTAGTTGGAGGTTGTCCAAACGGGCAGCCATGTAAGCCTGCTATAGCCTGTGCTTAACCTGTCAAAAGTCACCCTCTAGCACCTTTGCAGTGGTTCTTCTGATCTCCTCTTCCCAGTCGTGTCCTCTTCCGACCCTCTCTCTCTGGCGGTGACTCCGGCGACCGATGCGCCCCGTGCTACGCGACCACCCAAGGTACGGCATGATACTCCAAGAGCAGTTCCGCCAAGCGTTGATCGCCCGACCAGGCTGTAATGCCCAAGGGCGTGATGCCCGGAAAATAGGCCAAGTGTTGCACCTGGTCTGACCAGGTGAAAAGGTGCTTCGGCTGCGGGTGGGTTGGAAGTGGAGGCCAAAACGAGAGTTCGTAAGCGATGAATGGGCTCACCCCCCCCATTCATGTGGCGGCAACGATATCAACCTTTCAGAAAACCCAAGGAACCTTTATGGAAGTGCGAACCGCGTCGGTGCATGTCTGACAAAGCTCTCTCGGTGCGGCTTGGGAATGTGCAAACAGGTGTGGACACATGCGAACAGGTGTGGTGACTGGTGTGACGGAATGACTGACGCCTAATGGGATGTTGGCCCCTTAGCTTGTCCATCATTGAGTCCAGTGATCAATTTAGTGGTTTACCATGGTTTACCATTGCCTCTTCTTCTGTTACCCTGTGGGCCAAGTACACCGCCATTACATGCCATTACCATATCAATAACAAATACAGTAATATGGATGGCAAAGACCCTTCAAAAAAGGATTCTTTTCCTTTCCTTTACTTCACGGGGGGGTCTTCACTCCACTTCCACCATGATTCTTTCAGGGAGTATGCTCTCCCTGGAACTCGCCTGGAAGTCGAGTACACTCTCCCCTCGTTGGTAGAGGAGGCCATGATCTTCCTTTCAAGGCCATGTCATCCACTTCCACCATGATTCTTGCAGGGAATGAGGCCATTTTTCTGTACTTCGGCATCCCCATCCTTCCACCCCCACCCGGCTGTACCGATTCTGTCTGCCGAGAGGCTCGACGGCTGCGTGGGCGGAAGTAGCTGTAGAGGTTCGCCAAGGGAATGCCCACTTTCAACCAACCCTTTGGACGGGCTTGCGCATTCCTGAGGCGTTTTTGGGGGCAAGGATATTTCTCTCGTTGAGGCGTGTTTTTCTCGCGAATTGCTCTTTTTGAGGCTTTCTTCGGTTTTTTTGTTTGTTAAATTCGTTAGAGGTTGCTTTTGGAGAGAATGAGGGTCCAAAACACAATGTTCGATTGTTAACTTATCCAGTCATGATGTCACACCTAGTGTGCAACCTGGTTTGGTTGGGTTTGCCAAGGCCATACAGTGGCACATCACCTTTGTGACATGCCACCAGTGGCGCGCAAGTGCGTTTGTGCGAGCCCAACCTGATGAGTCTTCAGAAAAAAATACATGATCCAAACATGTTCCAACACATGAATTCCAGTACATCCTCAGGCAGCTCTCGTTGCACAAGAACGGTCCCCCAAGGAATTGAGTTGGGGACAACGACTTGCAAAAAAGCAAGCAAGCACGTGTCTCTTTCAGAGTTGGCAGCACCTTAAAGGATCAAAAGCGGTTTGAGCGAGAGAGGGGGGGCAAGGGATGCAGGGAAGGCATGTGTGAATGTTCGAAGCCTAGGCTCACGTCAGCACGAGATTCGATGAGTATACGCGCAGATTCCAGTGCCTCAAGCCGCCCAGATAGGGCCAAGCAAGAACTTCCAGAAATCTGCTCCAATGATCGTATGATATGTGTATTTTTATGTATTTTTCCTTATTTTTCTTCTGGCCAGTGCCACAGTTCTTCGATTGGCTCAATTCATGGATGCCGACTTTGGGAAAACCACGCTGTCATGCATCAACTCGTTTTGCTGCTGCCCGCCTCGGGATTGTCACGGCTGTGGATTGCCAGGCCATGCAAAGGTGTATATCCGATGATGTGGACTTTGTTGGCTTGGGCGTTCGTGTCGTTGGGGCTATACCTGAGAACTTGCACACGAGGGTGAAAGATCTCATCTTTGATGTTGTGTTGGTTGTTATAGGTTACGCTACTAGTAGGTTAAACCAAAGCCCATGTAATACCCTTAACACTTCCCGACATCATCCGATTCAATGTAGACTCGGATGAACATGAATTCCAAATAACTGCAGGCTCCATGTCCATTGATTCTTTCAGGGAATGTTTTCTGGGAAATGTACCCTCCAAACTGAGAATTGACCGGTGCTGTACACTCCCATTCTCCTCTACAACCCAGTGGTTTTTTGGGGGTTCCATGTGGTCCTCTGCAGGGAAGGTCGTAAGGACCGGTCATCCGCCGCAAGGGTTGGTCCTCCGTGTCATCCACGTCGCCGGGGCCGCATGAGGTAAACACCACTTGGGGAAGCAACATATGCAGTTTGTATTTTAATAGGGAGGTTGGGGGGAGACCCCCAACCAATAAGTGTTGATCTATTTCTTTTCTTCCAGGGAGTCGAAGAAGTAGGTGGTCTCCCCTATTTTCATACACACCAGGCCCATATCATCCCAATCAATTGTTTGTTGAACGGCACGCCGTCTCGAGCGAGACTAAGCTTCCCAAACACCCATATGGACCTCGTACTGAGGTGTTAGACCGTGATAGGGAGGGGTCTGAGGTCTCAAATCCATAGGTTTTCAGGGATCAAGGGCTGGTTGGAGCGTCTGGGCAGAAGGTCATGTAACATGTCTAGAGTCTAGAGCATGCTCGCATCATCTCACATCCACCATCCATGACCAACTCCGCCCCATCCACCACCTGCCTGTTGCTCAAGAGCCCGGAATATCCAAAAAAAACACAGGGAGACTCAGAACTCACTTGTTCTGGTCGCTCCCGGAGGACTTCCATCCACCACCAGCAGCAACTGAACCGCCGCCCAGGCGCCCCGCGTCCAGGATCGACTGCACGGTGGAGGCCGACGCCCAGCTGGCGGCTCCAGTGAGCGCTGTCAGGTTCCCCGGGCCGCTGTGCTGGAAGTCCGCGCGCGCAGCCAGCAGCAGCTGCGGACGAGACAGGACAGGAGCGCTGGATGTGTGGGATGGATTTTGGGATGATGGGTTGGCGGAGGTGAGGTGAGTTGTAGGATTGGAATGAGCTAGGGGAGCTAGGGGAGGCCAGGCTGGGGATCCTAGTCGCTGCTACTTTCTGAATGGCACAAAGGAACGCAACAAGGCTTGGTGGAAGTCAACAGGCCTATGTTACCTCGCTCTTTCTCACCTGTGCTTGCTTAAAACAAGCCACCAAGCCACTTGACTGTACTCGCAAGCAGCCTAAACTCATAAACATCTACAATATATATATATATACAATATATATAATATAATGTCAAGTTAGGATTAATCAATCCCCCCTAGTTAACCCGAGCCCACAAAGCCGCCGAAAATTGCCCAAAAAAAAAGTATTATTCGCTGTTGATTTCCCCCCCTATGGTCTACTTTTCTACCAACAATCCCCCCCAGTTAATCCGAGCCCACAACCAGGTCAATTTTTCGTATTACTACTACTACTACTGCTACTGCTGCTGCTGCTACTACTACTACTCCTCCTGCTGCTGCTGCTCCTGCTACTGCTACTAGCTACTAGCTATTGCTGCTGCTGCTGCCTCCTCCTCCTCCTCCTGCTCTGCTAGTGCTACTGCTACTGCTGCTGCTGCTGCTACTGCTACTGCTACGTGCTACTACCACGACCACCACCACCACCGCCACCACCACCATCACCACCTACTACCTACTACATGTTTGATGAAATCCTTAAAAATGTCTAGGGCTCAGGGCCTATAAATTGCCTTATTAAAAAAACAATTAACAACAATCTTTTGACAAGCTCACAAAGGGTAGCCCTCACAAGGTCCCCTATCAATAATCTGCACTACTACCCCCTATTAATTTGATCCTGTGTCCCTGGCCTTTTCTTTGTGCTACTACTACCTACAACCTACTACTACCTACTACCTACTACCTACTACCTACTACCTACTACCGACGACGACTGCGACTACGATGGCTCCCTGAGCCGATAATTCAGGGGGGTGGACCTCATGAGTGGTATCTCAGACCTTGTTGACCTTGTTGACCTACCATGTGGGGGGGGGGTTAATTAATCCGGTCTTGACATTATATTTGTTTATGTAATATTGATATGAAGTAATATATATGTATCACAAGTTTATATCACATGAACCGATGAATCAAGGAAATCTCTCCGAACTCTGTCAACCGCTGGTCCCAGATCTGTCAATGAGTGGTGCGTCGTCGCGTCCTTCACATGCTCGGGAGATCGCACCAAGTAGGTGCACTTGATGTATGTCCTAAAAGCAGAACCGCTCAATGTGGAGCTAGGATTTGCAGCTCAAGCTCAATAAGGAACCTGGTGAGACAAAAATAACAACAAAACCAGAAATGTTAACAAGAAAAAGGAATTATACACCATTTAAACAAAACAACAAACATCACCTATAAGCCTTATTAAGCCTTAAGCAAAACCAGGCAAGGTTGGCTTCACCAGCAACTGCTCTTTTGGCAGGTCTGCAAGTTGCTGAGCGCGGTGCAAATGTGGGCATGTTTCCAACAGTTTCCAACAGTGTTCTTCCAACATCTTCCAACTGATGCAGTTTCACAGCGATCAAGGTAAGGACTCTATAGACTCTATCAACGGTTGATCTTCCCAAACTTGCGCATCTGCAAGGCGAAATCAGCCCAAACATCGGGCACTCCTTGACTTCAGATCCACGTCGGCGCGCATCTCCAGAAGGGCAGAGATCACCTCCGACTCCTGGCGGCGCGAACGGCGAACGGGGTGAAGTCCGAACGGGTCTGACCGGTGAAACACAGGAACTGCGGTGGGCCGGGCTTAAGGCCGGGGGCGGGAGTGGTCGGACTCGCAAGAAACTGGACGAAAGCCATGGTTTCGTGAGTGCCAAGCAGCCCAGGACCTCCCAAGTCCTAAAAAGAAAGCATGGCATATGTATATATAGTGCCAACCACCCCAGGACCTTCCAAGTCCTGAAAAACTGCATATATGATCATATATGGTCATCTACATTCCCTAAAAATACCTGAACTAATCAGGGGACGTGGAGTGAAACCCACCTGTTTGGTCTTCGATCTCGGTCTTCTTTTTCCCGTAGCAGCTAAGCTGGGAGTGTAAGCCATGTCTCACTCAAGCCTCGCCTGTTGTGACTTCAGCGCTGCCATCAAAGGAGTCTGACTATCAAAATAACCTCAGGAATGCGTGCCACTGCCGTGGGCGAACGACTCAACCTTGCGCCCGATGGGTTCCCTCATTGTGATATCTTTGCCTTGCCAAAGAAGGACCTCCATCTCGATTGGATCCAACGATCAACCTCACCCATCTCACCAAATCCAACCAAATAATTCCAATCTATATCCCAACATGAGTCATGGTGACTTCATAGGGAGCTTCGCCTCCAAACCCACACGACGCCGCACCAGCCCATCAGTCCAAGGCACCCAAGGTCTCCAACCCATGCAGCCGGCCATTCATGTCTGCCCGCTGCTGCCCTAGCAGCCGCAGCATCTCCGCGTCGCCCGCGAAGAGCGCACACAGCACCTGAAGACTGAAAACACCGCCGCCTGGGGAGATCGAGAGGTGTCAGTGCTTCAAAGAAAGCGCCCCCCAGAGAATAGAATCCGAGTACCGGCACCTGTTTAAAAAAACAGGACCAAATTAACTAACAACTCATGTCGGAGACCCCACGACCAGCACTTCGTCCGATTCATGCAACTATACCAGCATATATAGCCAGTCTTGAACGAGCGAGGGCATACAGGCCATCATTCGGTGCAAAGGCGAAGGAATGACGCACGTGCAACCCGCCTTTGCACGTGCAATGCTGGCGCATCCACGACGAACCCCCTCCGGCCACCCACAACCCACAACCCACCACCGAAACGCAAACCTGGGCGCCCCGTTCATGCTGCTGGTGTCCTCTACGGCTGCTTTGAAGTTGGGGAACCGAAAGAGCTCCACGAAGTGCTGCGGCGACGTGCTCCGCGCCGCGGCCGTCTCCTGGCGTGGATCCCGGCGACGGTGGCGCCAAATGGGTCCGACTCGAGGTGCGGTCTTGTCTAGTTCCGCACACCCGTCTTATTGCAAGCAGAATGATCTTCTCAGCCGGAGCAGGAATGCCATGGTTGGACTTGTGAAAATCTGTACAAGTTTTCGGGCTCACCGCCCTGGTCACCTGAAGTCCCTATAGAAGTGTATAAGTGAGCCAGAATTGTTATCCAGCTTCTTCAAAGTGACCTCTTAAAGGTTCCTAAGTGACCCTTAGGCGGCTTAAGTGACCTCAAACCAGGTTATCAAAAGGTCACTTTGAAGAACCAGGATAGTATGATTAATTGTTACATGTTGTTGTTCCTGCCGCCAAGCAGTCTATATACACTGTAGCCCGGCCGCATCGAGCTTGTGCTTTCCATTCTTACGACCCGCTGCTCGACGACCCGCTGCACCCGTACGACCCAAAACGGTTCCCGCCTGCTTGAAGAGCCGCGGGATGAGGGCAGAGTAGAAGCGATAAGCCCACAAGGGCCCCTTCTGGGAGAGGTATTGGATCTTGCCTCACCGAAAAGGACTGTCAGGAACGCATGGAGGACCGGGATCTATATAGAACGATATAGGAATCTGTAGCAAGGTACCTAAGCGGTGATTGCAACCTCACCTCACCCTTCCTTGCAGCAACCATAGTGAGTTGGCAGAGTGTGGCACACCAATTCGGGCGCTCATGCAAAGACGTTGCAAAAACCTCGCCCTGGCCTCCATTCGGTCATTCCATTCTTTCAAGTCGGATTCGTGCTAGTGCTAGCTCATGCGCGCGCGCGAGTGGCCGATCCCCCCACTTCGGCTGGCTCCACTGGTTGCACTGCTGAGCCACTTTGCAAGGCCAAGTGTCCCAACTGCACCACCACGGCTCGGTCACTCCTCAGCGGGCGGAATCGAGAGTCGGCAGGCAAAACGAAAGAAACACCCGCCAACCCCAAAGGATTAAGAACTTTATCTAGACCTAGACTCTTGGCCAAGAACTTCTCCGATCCCCCACCCGCAGAGGAAACAAAAACACGACCTTCTAATGACCTAATTCCTGCCCACATCGATCGTCCCAAGGCTCTCCACCGTAAATTGCCCGTTGCTGATGCTATTGTGCTGCCAGTTCCTGGCGTTCACCACGTCCCGGGCGAGTCCGGAGGTCAGGGGGCCATGTGCCGAGACGTGGCTGCGGCTCTTCACCGCCATCTACTGAGGCCGCCCAAGTCTTGGTGTCCCATGCTGTCCCAACTGGAGGCTGCCAGTGACAGCCCAGTTGGGACAGCAGGAGGTACAACCCTCCAGGCCCGAACCCATGGGAAGGGTTTGGTTCGGATCCAGGATGGTCCGGAACTCATGGATTCTTAGGGTGCTCCAGCTTTGCCAGTTCTGTTGTGAATTCCACCTACGGCCGCGTAGTAGCGGGCCAAGGGTTCAATAGTCCAATGAAATACCCTTGAACCGGCCACCAATCCCGCAGCCCAGGCTCAAGGCAAACATAAACTCCACTTCGAGCTTGCTGTGAATCACAATCACTCGGGTATCCTAAGACAGTCAGGGATCGGCCCAGGGGCCAGAGCATGAACGGAAACACCATACCGAACAGGCACAGGGAAGAGTGGACGTCAGGACGTCCTCTTCGGGAAAGGCCATTCTCCTCTACAAACAGGGTGCCATCCACTTCCATGATGGTTGGAGAGAGGGTGCAACACGTGTAGTTGGATCCCAATTACATCATGATGCCATGCGGCCATGCCATCTCCAAATTTCTGGTCACCCGACCTAGCCTGATAATAAACAATCCAGATCAATGAGGTGCTGAACAGCTGCACCAATCCCCACCTCTTGGCCCTTCACCTCCCACCTCTCCGCCCCGCATATCAGACCTCCTTGATCTGACCAAAACAACTGGTGAACTAAACTGTTACACTTCGTTATACGATTTATATACTTGAGCGGGGAAACACGAACTGTCGGGACCTTTTCTGGTGAGGGACTGACTCCGGTGTTTCAGGAACGTGCCCCTTGGTCAATCATGGATGAAACCAACAAAGCCAGAGAGCACAAGAAGGCTCAAGAGGAACACCGTTGCGGTCAGATTGCGCCACACGGCTCTGCAGAGAGGCGGTGCGTCGACGCTCGTTTGTGTAAAGGTGTGTGAAAACAGGCGCGCGTAAAGGTCGCAATGCGTAAACGCTCGCATGTGTACCAGCTATGGTCCCACAGCTGCACGCACTGTGTCAGGATTACAGGCCTGCACGCGTTGCGTCGAAGCCGCAGTGACCAACCCCCTTGTAAGGATAGTGCTGGAGGGGTGCGGCCGGTACTGCCAGGGATGGACGTCACGCTATGGTGGGTGTGCTCCACGATGCGGTAAGATTTCGCCACGCTAGGGTATAAGGCTGAGTCGAATGGTGTTCCGCGACGCGAGGGGTTTCTCCACAGGGCTTTGCAGAGAGGCTGTGTTGCATCGATGCTCGTTGATGTCGAGCAATATGGTCTGTGAACGCAGTACGCGCTGTGTCAGGCTGCCGGGTGCGCACGCGCGGCATCGAAGCCGCATTGCGCGACCTCATTGCGCAGGGTTCGTGCTGTATTGCGCAACCTCATGGCCAGCGTCGTACTGCAGTGACTGCTGAGCGCATGACTTCACCTTATGTCCAGAATGCTAGCAGTGCTGGCGACGAGACGACGAGGGGAGGGGTCGAGGAGGGGAGGGGAGGGGGGGGGGTCGAATCAATTGACTTATCAATGAATCATCACATGGGAGGGGGGGGTGAAAGAGTGACTAGGGCGTACACGGTAGAGGTGCAGACCGCTAGTGTCTTTTATGCGCAGAGTCTTATCCTCTTGCTCTTTGAGCCTTGAAGCAGTCAAGTATGGACACACTATATCGGCTGTTGGAGTGGAACCCTGTACAGGTAGGCTCTACTTTTCAGCAGGCACAAGATTCATGTCCACTCCTAGCTGATTGCGTATGTCGCACACTCTTTTTCTACTGCAAGGCTAAAACAGTCCAGCTAGCTCTAGCAACTTAAAAGAAAACTACGGTGCCATGTACTTACCTAATCCAGTGTGTTTCACACTATAGAGAAGGTAATCTCAAAGCTACTAAATACAGTGAGGGAGCAATAGCTGACTCACCTCAAGTACAAAATCAAAACGATAATGTACCTCGGCTGGAGACTGTACTTTTCACAGGCGGAGATACCATGTACCGGCGCTCACTAGCTCTTTATGGCCTGAGTTAAATCAAACTAAAAAGGGAAAGCGGCTTTTTCTCTACAGAGACCTATAAAAGAATCAAACGACACTCGCGTAACGAAGAACTAAAAATTCAAGACCGCACAAATGCAATTAATTAAAATGCCTTGCAAAATGCAAGGAGCGTACGGTCCGAGGAATAATCTTCTCGTGACGTGGTCTCGACCGCTTTCATCCACAAACAAAATAAAATTGCAAAAGGACTCTTTCTCATTTACATCAAAAACACAGGAAGGAGATACCGGCAAATGTATGTACAAAAATCTTGCACTACAATTGCAAATCATGAAATGACTTAATCATCAACCATGACTGGTTGTCCATTAGAGGTCATCTCAGAAAAAGCGGCTGGGATAGATATCATCAGTTATGCAAAACTGTCCATACCTATCTACATGCTAAAGCGTATAAACCTGGAATGCAGGAGTATCTTCTTTGATAAAAAGTTTCTCCTCATTGCAAACCAGAATTTATTAAAACTTCAGCCTGGCAACTTAAAGTCAAGCTTGGAAGCAAAGTATCAGCTGTAACCAGAAGTATCTTCACTTCCTAGCCATCATTTAAATTTCAGCCTTCGCTCAGGAATTATGCCGCTGCAAACGATGAAGCTGCTTGATCAGAAGTTGGCGGCCTTCCTTTCCTTTTATTCTCTTTTTGTTTCTCCTTCCTCCGCAGTTTCGCCTCATGAAGAGTTGCTCCCATGCGATACTGTCTTCTGTCTCCAGATGAAAAGGAAGCTGGTCTGAGTGAAATAAACATTGGACCATGACTGTCCTCGTCAGTGGGCCTTGGGCACATAACCTCCGTGTCAATCATAGCAAAGTTCTCTGAAAAATTACAGATGAACTCCTTCGTGCTCACTGTGGAATTTTCATATTCCTCTTCACTCATTGAATGACCCCATTCAACAATGGTAGACAAACATGTATCGCCAAGCTGTGATCCTTGGTATTCTTCTTTTTCAACAGTAGAATATTCTTCCCAGAGTTTATCAAAGTAAACTTCACACTTCTTGAGGACCTGTGAAGTTGAACTGTAAAATGTTCTGGGAATAGGTGCTTTGATACCAGGATCTGCTTTTACACGAGCTTCTGAAAACCTGCGGATCCAATGCTGCAATGGTGCTGTAATAGTAGTTAGCCATTGGCTGCCTTTTGTACCCAGACATTCTGTAGGCCAAACTATTTGCATCACCAGAAATGATGTCCACCTCATAGACAAAACACTCGTAAAGCATCAATGCTGTCTGTTCTCCTGTCAGTAGGTGGGCATCCACAGCACGGTGTGTATCAACATGATAATTACAGACTCTGATGGTATGCATGTTCGCTCGAGTAAGTGGAACACGCTTGTCCTCAGGACCATAGTCATCAAATTCAAAGTCTGCATCCTTGAAATCTTGACGAGGCCTTGTTTCTCCAAAACAAATCTCGTAGATAGCCCAAGTTACATCACGCTGTTCACAGTGACCAAGGTCTTGGTCATGTCCAGCAATGATCTTGACATATCCACCTGGTGCCAATCTAGCCATCACTGCAAGATTCTCCCAATCATTGAAACAAACTGTCCAATTCTTTTGCTCAATGAATTCCTTGGCAGGAACAAGAAGATGAGCCTCCTGGAGAATCACGACATGTGCACGTAAAAAGAAGAGCATGTTGAAGAAAAGGTTGTTCTCAAATTGCTCATTCTGAAGTGACATGGCGCTCTGTTTGCGTGGCCTCATTGCACTATCAAGTCCTTGGAGAAACCTTGGTGTGGTGTACTTCTGACCACGAACCATGTTGCCATAGTTCCAGGATAAAAATGTCAAGGACTCTGAGCTGGCCAATAAGTTAGTTCCATATGGTTCTTCTATTCTTCCCTTGAGGAACCTTCTGCACAGCTCTTCATAGAAGGTGACAAAATCCCAACTGGGTCCCTTGGGACCATATGATTCCAGTTCCTTCTTAAGTTCCTTCTTCGTCTCCTCCAATTCTTCTCGAGCATGTTGTGCCCTTTCAAGGGCCTTTGGATCGACCTGATACTTGCCATCCAAATGAATGATGCGATCATCATTGATAAAGAATCTCTTCAAATCATGCTCTGGTTCGTGTTCATAACAATCAGGTGGAGGTACTGGACAGATATTACGAATGGATCGAACAAAATCATTCTCGTTGATCCTTGACTGATAATGAGGATGGGAAATCTCACCTTTTCTGAAACAAACATGATTCAGCAATCTTGCGTGAGTTTCCCTGAAGCATAGTTGATAAAAGCCAATACCTGGATCTCCTGTAAGCTCTCCAAGCAACTTCAAAGGTGAAGTATGCAACTCATAGGTATTGTCAACTTTTGTTGTATCCTTTTCAACAACTACTTCAGATGGAAAAGATTCCTGGATTTCAGCCTCCAATTTCTTCTCTCCATCATCCTCTCTGACCTCTTTTATTTTCTCCACCGCCTCTTTCTTCTCTTCCATGGTTGCATCATCCTGAACTTCTTCATGAAAATGAGGATCAGGTATTTTATTCAGGCGGCTTTTCTTAGATTTCGGCAGACGTGGAGTATCATCAAGGTTAGCATCCATCTCACCTGATGGTAAGTACGATGCAGCCGAGTCCTCACCTATCTCTCTTGACAGAAAGTATGGTGTTGACTCCTCCTTGGCTTCCTCCTGGTCCACTTCCATCTTTGGTTCCTCTGAAGGAAAAACACCTGCATTCTCATCAAATATTTCTTCTTCCTTTTCAGGTTCAACTGCAGGATCTTCTTCAGGAACTTCCTCTTCCATATTCTCATCTTCTAGAAGTGTCCTACTTCCAGTATAGATTCCACCAGCGATAGTGGAGACTCTTGTATAAGGAGGAACTTCTTCACCTGCCTCAAAAGCTTGTTCTGCAACATCCCTGGTGAGCAAGTCCTCTACAAGATTTTCTCCCTCGGTTCTTGGAAGAGGTCCTGAGGTCTCATAAAAATCTGTCCTCTCTGAACTGAAAGCTTCTGTCGCCTTCTCATTGTCCTTTTGATCCCTGAACAGATGAGTAATCTTCACAGCTTCTCCCTGTAGCGCCTGATCACCTCCTCTATACTTGTCGACAATGGAGCGCCATACTGGAACATTATCATCATCAAAATCAAGCTCCATATCATCTGCCAGCAAGTTTGAGATGTTTTGAGCTGCCTGTTCTTCTTCTTCATCACGTTCTTTGGCAAGCTCCTCATCCTTCTGGATCTTGAAGATACCCTTCAGGATGTCTTGTAGTACCTTTAAGTTCAGCTTCGATGATGGCTCATAC